GTCAATCATGTCAAAATATATATGAATTTAATAAAAACTCATTTTTTTTAAAAATATAAATCTGGGCTGTTTTAATTGGAGACACCCCATATGTTCACGTGCATAAAAAAAAAAAAAAACACGAAGCCAAAAATTTTAAAATCAGAATAAATCAGAATATTTGCTCAATTCAAAATGAACACATTATTTATTTTATTTAAAATTAAATACCAAATCATTTTAATCTTGAAATCCTAAATATATATTATAAATAGACATCATGCATACACTTAAATATTTATAATTATATATAAATTGAATCCAAATCATGTGAATATAATTAAATTATATTATAACTAATTATGTCTGGTTGGGATCAATTATTTCTACATACTATGAAAATTTACTATTTCCACTATTTGACGTAATTAGTTATTATTAGTTAGTTAGTGCTTAAAATAAATTAGTAGCGTTTGGTGATACTCTTTATTGCTTTTTTTGTAAATTTTTGGTGATTTTATTATTTGCTTTTGGTAATTAATTTTCTTCGGTTTAACTTTTTTGGGTAATTTTTGGTTTCACAAATTTCTACCGATTGTGAAAAGGGTATCTCTAGTGCTAGTGCTATTTGCTTTCGCAACGCTTCGATGCGCTGCTTTTATCACTATCGCTAGCACTAGTGCTCAAATTTTTTGTTCGTTTTTTGAAAGATGAAATTTTGTTGCTAACTGAATTTGTCTCTTCATTTTTTTTATAAATTTCTCGAAATTGAGAAAGAAGAAAGAGACACGTCTTATTAGTCAAAAATTTTAGATCTTGTGGAGTATACGGATATCGAGTCCTAGTTAAAAACATTTCACGAAAGGCTGAATATTTATGGTAATCCAAAATAAGAGCTTGCCTTCGTATATTTTCAGCACTATCATTTGATGATGTTGTTGCCCGTATTCTACTGTGCATATTTTCTACCCAGTAATCGTTAAATTGAATTAAATTTTTTTCTAATGCTTCTTTCATTGGATGTCCATTCTTTTCCCAATAAAATAGGTCTGATAAAAAAGCAAGTGGAGCTTTATTATAATTCTTTCGCTTCCAACGTAATGCAAAGGTCCAAATACGGAAGATTGTTTCTACATAGTCTTCAAAGGCGCCAGACCGAAATAGTAATGCGTAAACATCAAGGGCTGCTGGTATAATATTATCAAGAAGCTCTATAATTACTTGATACTCGATATTTTTTTGCAGATAAGTAAATTTTTTTATTATATTATCTTTAATTTTAATCCATGCAGAGAATGCCAACTCTAATAAAAGTGTTGTTCTCCAGGGCCTGGGCTTTTTCGCAAGCTTTTTCTTTTTTCCAAATACGTCATGAAAAAGCTTTTCGAAAAATGGGTAATAAATTTTCATAGTATGCTCTCTTGTATTAAGAGAGACATGCAGTGGCCCGAGAAGAGGAACAAACGATACCACCTCTGGTTGCACTAACAAGTTGTTATTACCATTTTGTAAATGTGTTAGTGCTTTACGAATAAAGAGTTGGCCCGGCCAATCAGCAACAATTGGCGCTACATTATTGGTAAGGCAACCTATTTCCTTATTATAATTTAAAATCATATTTAGCGCCTTAAGATAATCTTGTACAGAATGAAGTTGCTGTTCTTGTATTCCTACTAAAATTGCATCTTTCATTCTGCGTTCTTCTTTTCGTTCTACAATGGCGTTATCATAGGTATGTATTGTAAGTTGATCAATCCTATCAAATTTAAATAAATTTGAATTAGTCCATTGGCTTTTCGCTGTGAATATGAAAGGTCGAAGCATTTTTGGTACTGATCTATGAGTTTTTTGCAGATAAGCGGAGCCTCTATATTATTTGGATTATGAACCGATACACCATTAAATATAATTGGCACCGGACCCGACCTTTTAACTTTTTTACACACGCTTGTTGCCAGATGAGCAGCTTCTGATAAAAAAGTGTTATTTGGACGGCGGTTTTCATGGATATTATGGTAATCATCTAAATTATATATACAAAGATGATTTTTATTATCAGTAAAATATTTTTTTACCCGTGCTGAATGCTCATCCGCGACTTTTTTTTTATAGTTATATACAGTCTTATAGGCAGCTGAGATACCGGCATTACTTAACGCATTGATTGCATCACATGTTGTTCCAGATCCCGCAAGAAACAAGGCAAGTTCTAACTTAAAACTGTTAGCATGTTTGTTACGCAATCCAGCCATTAAGTGCAAAATTACTACGACTTTTTTTTTATCCTCATTTCTGTTGTAAGCTGAACGGTCATATAGTATTAATATATCACACATTTTAGCAAAAAAGCCTCTTAAATTAGAATCTCCATTTTCAAGCATTTTATCAAATTCATATGGATTGAGGACAAGACCGTTTTGTCTATTTTTATATAGAGCGGATGTCATTTTTTTAATACGATCACCAAATGACAATTTAGTCGATGAATTTGGAACAGATGCACTTTTATATTCAGTATATCCATTTTCAACAATAATCATATAATGAGAATTACAAACTTGCTGGCCTACACGTAAGTATGGATATCGTTGAATGGTTTTTTTATCAAATGCTTTTTTCATAGCTAATTGAGTTAGACATCGGAATTATCCTGATTTTTGTCACAATTATAAATTGAACATGGCCCAGTGTTAATTTTTTGCCTTGGCATCTTAGTTTGAAAATTTAATTTCGAGAATTTTATTATTTAATTTTAATATTAACGCATTTAATATGCGCGATACAATTTTGTAATACTATGCAATTTTTGTAACACAACCTAAACTACAAAACATAATAAAATCTTTAAAAACTAATAATTTAAAATTCATTTATTACCTATTTAACAATTGTTTTATATAGAAGTCAGGTTAAAAATTTTCACATACAAAATTAAATAACTGTTTCTCATAACAGAATTCTAAAAGTGACCCGCCCGCCCAGCTTTTAACTTTTAAATCACAAAAATTTTGAGTTTTTTTTGTCTAAATAATATTTAAAACGTATAAAAATTTTTATTAAAACCCACCCGGAAGTAGTAAATAACTTATAAAATTTTGTATCGAATATTTACAAGCTGACCCGGCCGGGTTATGAGAAACAATTAATTAATTTTATATGGCCTTAGTAGTATAACAGTCAAACTTCTCTAAGTGCATTTAGAGAAAGTAAAATATAATATTAATAAGTTGAGGCTACGTATATATTAAGTATATTTATAATAGTGAGCCAATCAAAATCGCGAAAAAAATAATTGATCATCAGCCAATCAGGTGGATATTCAACCATGCTGATATATGTAAATCTGGGCTGTTTTAATTGGGGACACCCCATATTGTTTGAGAACGCTTATAACAACTGTTCTCATGAATCTCATGAGAACACTATTTGGATCTGAAATGTCCAACACTGTACGTTACACAGCATTTAGTTTTTACCTGTGGTTTCGCCACGGGGTTAATTTGCATCAGAGTGATGAAAACCAAAAGATAACAGCAATACACTATTCATAAGGTTAAAATATCAAATGTATATAAAAACTCATAAGATTTTTAGAATTTTACATTTTTTTTATAATTAATATATGTTTATATAATTTAAGAACTTGACTCTTAGACAATAAATTCACTCCATTATACCGCCAGTAAATTTCGGGTCAAGTCCATTGTATAAACTTAAAAGGCCTAAGTCTAGTTACATGAACTATAAATAAATCTGATAAAAAATCAAGTTTACTTCTCCGTAGAGGCCTGCACGAACCAAGAAATTTAAAAACTTCACAAAATTGTGGGCTAATATGTCATAAACATAGTAAAATGCGGACTGAACTTTTAAAAAACATATCCCCATTTTAGGCTTTATAATTTATCGATATAGTAAATCAATCAAAATCTCGAAAATCAATATTCCGAAATTTAATTGTCGCACCATGTGTTGTCGGGGTTTCAATATTCAAACTCCGTTTATGATATTACTAATTATAAGTGGAGTTTGAATATTGAAACCCCGACGATAAAACAAAATCCTAAATATATTTTGCGGGCCGGCAAAAATACAATTTTTTAGGCCCGTGCAGACCCCTACTTCTCCGGACTGTAATTGAATAGCGGTATATATTAAAAACCTTAACATCTGTTAATTTATTATAGTCGCGATATTAAAGAAAACTACAGTACCTAATTGCCAGAATATTATTATTACGAATCTAAAAATAGAACTGGCTAACATGCATAATTTTTTTTTATCTCTCCAAAATGACCGAAACCAATATATACCACCTAGGAAGACAGTTAATATTAATTATTTTTGTAAGATTTGTCAGTTAATCTTTAAATATGAAAATTACATTTCTATATTTTTTAATAATTACATTAGGCGTTTTATACGACGTCGTAATTCGAAGTAATTGATTGTCTTAAAAGAAATTAGCGCGTTAATGATCTTTAATATCATTATAATT